TTAACGGGGGGGGGGGGGGGGGTGTCCAGTGTGAGGGGAACTGGGTCGAGACTGGCCATTGATGTTTACAAATGGGTCCTGGTACAAAAAAGGTTGAGAACCACTGCTCTAGGTTAAAAAGTAAATTTAATTTCTAAAGCAAAACAAGAAACCTTTGATAGAAAGTTCTGTGCTGTCTTTCAAGGTTATCAAGAAAAACACACAAAATGAGTTGCTTCTCATTTGCAAATGGCTGTTAACAGAAACCAGAGCACTTCAGCAGACAGAACACCCAGGGAAAGTCCGTGTAGACCCAATTAAACTTTTAATAAGCACAGATGTATCCTAAGACCAAGCCACTTTAATTTAGTTGTGATATCAAGTTATAAAAGGTATCCAGGTTGTAGCTGTATTGGTTTAGAGGCAAAAGAAACCAGAACTCATGGTAGAGGTGATATCTTTTATGAGACCAACTAGAAATTAAAGACGTCAAATTTTTTTTTTTTGCAAAAATCTAGTTGGTCTCATAAAAGATACCACCTCTACCACACATTCTGATCAAGTTACAAATGAACTTGAGGTGTCTGGTGGGCTCAAGTCATAGTAGCACCAAGCCACACCAGGCAGACCTGGTCTCCTGCACCAGACCCAAACAAACTTGATGAGTTGCCACGACACAGAGTGCCCAATGAAGCGTTAGGATCCGTTTCCCAAGTCCACCGCTGTGAAAGTGTTTTCAAGGTTTGCCTCAGAAACCCACTCAGGTCCCATCGGGAACTCCGATCCCTGCTAATCGGGTCAGGGGAAAGAAACTTGCCCCGTCCAGGGTGGGTACGAACCCAGGCCACGACGGCGGACTTCGAGGCCGCCTCAGGGTTTCCGTGCGAGCAGTACGGCCCGAGCAGCTGTCAGGGGAGAGGCGGTACCGAAGGAGAGCCCCGTGGCGTCGGACACAAGCATCTGTCCGGCTGCCCTCGGGCCCCGCGACGAGCGCCTGCGGCCCCTTCGGTCCGAAAAACGACGCGTTTACCCCGGGCGCGCGGACCCAGCTGCGCCTTCCCCAGGCAGCCCCCCGCCGCCCTCAGGCGGGCGGGAACGGCGCAGCTCGGCGCCGGGGGCCAGAGCAGGGTTTCCAAGCAGCTGCGGGTGCCAAATCACCCAGACAGAACGAATCAGCCCGCGCGCCCACACACCGGAAGTGAGAGCAGAGCACAAACAAACGCTTCCGCTTCCGGCAGGCGACAATAGGGAAAAAGGAGCTTTCGAGGGAGACCTCACGCGCTAGCCTTAGTGCGCGTGCTCCAGTCCACCCCTTCTTGCGAGGCAGCGGTGCGCGTCCCCTTTACGGAGCGCAGGGGGAAATGTGCGTGACGTCGTCTCGCTGTCGCCGGCTCTGCTGTAGTTCCCGCGCGCGGCAGTGGGGTCTGGCCACGTGGGCGCCCTGCCTCCCTCGGAGCGGGCGCAGTGACCGGGGGTCGCTGGGGGCTCCGCTTGCTCGGCTGCGGGGGCGGGTGGCAGGGGCTGGTGCTGAGCCTGGGGCCGGGTGGAGAATGGGAACAGCTTCGCTCCGGCCGAGAACGGAGCCCCTCGCGTCTCTATTTCTCGCGTGTCTGAAATAACCCGTGAGGCGGTTGCAGGGCCGGGCGGCTGGGCAGGGCCAGGCGGGAGCTGCTCGCAGACTGGCGGCCTGCCCCGCTCCCGCCTGCCCCCCAGACCCCCACGCTTGTGCACGAGGACGCTCCCCGGGTCCTTACAGCGGCGGGACAGCCCGGACCGCCCCCCGCGGGGCGTCCAACAGCGGGGCCTGAGCTTCGGCCCGAGGTTCCTAAAGCCTTGAATAGTCCCGTGGCAGCCGAGTGAGGACGCTGGGCTGGGCCGGGCCTGTCTTTCCTACCGCCAGCGCGGCCCCACGGACTCCTGCGGAGTGGGTCCTGGTGCCCACTGAGTGAGGGGGAGCAGAATCGGACCTGCCAGCTCTACCAGCAGATACCTGTGGAAAGTCCCAGCAAAGGTGTCGGATCCTCATCCTAGAAAACAGTCTACTGCTGCCCCGAGTTTCTCTGTAGCTTTTTGAATAATTAACCTATAGAGACTGCTCGGATAAGAGCCTGAAGTTGCTGATATCGAAAGAGGAGGTCTCACATATCCCATCGGAGATAACAGAGCACCAATGACTCTGCTGGTAAAAAACAAAACAAAATCCAAACCCTCACATTATACTAAAAAATACTTTGAATGCTGTGGAAAAGGACTGACTTAAGCCACCTGGTTGCCACAGTAAAGCTCCAAGATTAATCCTTTGCAAAAGGGGACTTGAAATAAAAAGCATAGTACCTTCCTGCCTAAGCAGTGCGTTTAGGAGATCAAGCTAAAATATCTCTGTTGCTAGTCTCAGTAGAGACATGTTTGATGATGTCCCTAGGTAGATCTCTAGGTACCTCAGCACTGCTGCTTGGAGAGCACTGGGTCACTTTTTGGAGAGATGATCTCTGCTGCCAGCCTGTAAATAGATACGTGCAACACAGCAGTAGGGTCCAGTCTTTCTGTGTTGCTGAAGTGAATCACCAGTGGTCTGCAGGGTCTGCTCATTGAATTGTAGTTAACAAAGCTCAAGTCTACTAAGAATAACAATTATATCACTGCATAGAACACAAAGCTTATCTTGTCTTGGCAGGCTTGAAAATCCTCAACTCCTATTACCCGAAATCCGAGAGCGCGGGGGACAGTGTCCCACACATGCTGTACTGTCATCCTTGTATCAAAGGACTGTTGCCACTGGCACGTGCTTGACCGTGGCACACAAGACAAAAGGGATCTTGTTGGGCCCTTTGCAATGACTGTCTGACCAGATAAAATGTGCCTTGTTCTCAATCGATTGCTTCCTAAGAGTGGATCCTGACTCGGTTTCCAAGTACAGTACTTTTGATGCCTGTTCTCGAGCAGGAGTGGCCTTCAGTTTTCTTCTCGCGCTCTTAGGGAGGCTCTTGAAGCCACAAGTGCAGTTCATGCAACGCGACAGCCTTACACCCATTTTACAGACGAAATGCAGGTTCCGGGATTTGCTAAGTCAGGACTCGGACCTGCGCTCCGGCTTCTCCCTCCTCGCCCACGGTGAATGCCCGCGGACGGTGCAAGCAGCTGGCACGCTCGGCCTGCGGGGCGCGACCGGGGCTCGGTGCAGAGGATGGAGACCCGCGGAGGCAGCCGCGAAGGGCTCCGGAGAGGTTCCTGACCCTGACCACCCTGCTGCCCCTGGCCCGGGCTGAAGGGAGCGGGGCGGCCCGTGCTGGCTGCGGGCAGGGCAGGGCAGGGCGGGGGCTCATTAGCATGGGGCCGCGCTGAGGCGGTGGCTGGTGCGGCGGCGCCGGGCGGCTCCTCCTCCCGCTCGCTCGCTCGCTCCCCGGCGCAGCATGGCGGTCAAGGTGACTCTTTTCCTCTCTCGCTAGTTGCGTAAGAAGCCGGGCGGCTCCCTCCCTTCCTTTCCCCGCCGGCTGCGCCAGGCCCTCGCCCCCTCGGCGGGCTGGCCCGCGGAGGGG